CATATATTCTGCAAACACTGAATATAAAAATCTTAGAAGACAAATATTCATCACATCAGAAGAGCGAAGATCGTATTCATCACATCAGAAGAGCGTAAAGCGAAGAGCATAGAGCAAAGAAAGTATGATGATGGCAGCGGTCACGACTACCATCCATACGAAAAATTCATCATATTACACTCGTGGCGAATGCCGACAAAGTGAATTCGGGGCGACATATTCAAGAAATCATCTTCAAGATGAGAGGTCGCGGAAGATAATTCAGTGCTAATCAGTATGCAGAGCAAGAACCTTCACAGACATCTGGCCCTGACAATCCAACAACAAACCCCCGACACCGAAGAGCAGGCTAACACCAACTCCAGGCGCCCGGAAGTTGAGTATTCTATGTTACGAAATACGTAGTAGAATAATAATAAATGTATGACATCAATAAATAAATATATTCCACAGGTTTCAAACTGCAGCACATCCTAGGTATAAAAACATTATTGTATCTAATCTACTTCCAATGTTGTTTGCTTTGTGTTTATTAATTATAATTTTTGTGCCAATAACTCTTGCAATCTAACTTACTAGACTAAATTATCAATCCTTAATTTACTAAATGTTTATTCATTCAATTATAGCATGATTGCCTCAAGTAATCTCAAAATTTAGGCATGATAGTTTATAGCCTTCTTAGCATCATAGTCACATTATGTGCAGTATCTTTCATTTGTAATTTTATATTTTTCAGCTGTCTGAGGACCTTATGCGCCATTGCCTGTCCTGTGCTCCCTATTCCATATCACTAGTTACCAAACCCTATGTCACAATTGTCCTAAAGCACTGTAAGCAATATTGTCTAAATGTACATTTATCAGCATGTCAGTTGTATTTTAAAATCCCCTAATAAAACATAACTCTTTTGGCAACTCTTTACTTACACCATTATCAGACGAATTCAGCTTCACTTGAGTGGGTTACGAGTTAATCCCCCCATGGTTGACACGGGAACAACATACTACTCCACATAAAAAATTGACCTCTGCATTGCATAAAAAACTTGACCTCATAGTCTATAGGCCGCCAGCTTGCCCATCGGAAAATTTAAACAAAACCCTGGAGGAAATAGAAACCAGGGGTGGCTGGACTGGGCGAACCAGCCCCTAGCCTGATAATGGGAGGAGACTTCAATCTCCCACATATCTGATGGACAAGTCTGGGCGACGTAGAGGTTGGTGACCACGACAGAAGTCAAGAAGCCAAACTAGTGAAGTTTGCTACGGAACACTTGCTCAGTCAGCAAATACAGTTGCTGACAAGGGAACAAAATATCCTCGATCTCTTCTCTACTGATAATGAAAAAATGGTGGTTGACATTCGGGTTGAAGAAACCTCACAGTCAGACAACCGCCTGGTGAGGGTGGATACAACAATTTGAACTGATACCCAGCCCATAGCTATACCCCAAAATGGACTGGCAGGACTTTTGCCATCAAAGAACGGATTGGGAGGCAATATGGAATGAACTTGATGAAACTGACTGGAGAGAAGAGTTTCACTATATGAATGAAGAGAAATTTACACAAAACTGTGTAAGAAATTAGCACAGGTATGTGTGCGTCATACCCCAAGAAAAATGGGACCCAAAGTCCGCAGCATTCCGGAGACCAACGAATCCTTATAAGAAAACCCACATGTTTGAATGAACAAATGGCTGAATCCACTTGTGATCTGAGGAGACAGAGACCAGTAGATTTTCACAATGAAATTGAACTCAAGTTGCAGGACTCGCATAGAAGAACATGCTGCCAAGGAACAATTAGTGGAGGTAATCAGAGAAAGCCCAAAGTACTTTTTCAAATACGCTGTTGCTGGGTGGATGTCTCACGTTGCGGGTGAGGTAACCGTGTTTTGGTGAATTTGCGTGAATTTGGTTTGGCAACAACCCTTTATCTAGTAAGCCAAAAGGCAAATGAAAGACTGGTGTCTTATATTATAAATTGAAATAAAAATACAGTGAAAACAATGTACAATGGAATAGCTAAATTATTGAGTGGTTATGGTACAGTGTAAGGAGTGGACAAGTTTAACTGCGCTTCAGGGTTATGAGCTATGATTAGGGATAGGGAAAGGGAGCATGGACAGGGTTACACATATTCCATCATTGATGAACTGAAAAACTTACAAAACATCTTTGTGATTAAAAAGATCATACCTAACTAACTCACCAACAACTTGTGGCAGTTCCACTTAATGACTCGTCAATTTAGGGATCAGTAACTGCACTTGCATGGTCCTCCAATCATTATCACAATAATTGACCAAGTTGCAATAAATAGAATTAGTTTACAGGCTGAAAAGAACAGAAAAAAACATACATTCAACAATAATTAATAAATAAACATTAATTCAACAATAATTCATATATAGAGAGCAGATGGTAGGGTGAAAAATATGGTAGAGGCCTCCCGGTAACAACGTCCAGTCCAAGGCTAAAATAAAGACGCCAGTGGGCCTGCTGAAGGAAAATGATGTCCTTGCTGGAGATGACCAGTGTATGGGTGAGTTACTGGGATTGCAATTTGAATCAGTATTCAGTAACCCCTGCTACTCCAGGGAGGAGAATGAAATTGAAGTTCTCCAGGCACTGCCAGGAGGAAGGGGTTGGAGAACATTGAGGTTGGGCCAGAAGATATGGAAATAAGTATGAAAGAATTGGCGACGTTCTCAGCACCACAACCAGATGGAATTCTAGCAGTGCTGTTGGAGAAGTGTGTTGGAGCACTGAAGGTTCTGCTCACAATGCTCTGGAAAGCCTCAACTCAACGATGGAGCGCATTATTCCTGAGGGCCTAAAAGTAGGACTGATAATGCCAATCCACAAAGGAGGTGCAAGGGACAGACCCCAAAATTACAGACCGGTGACCTTGACCTCACATGTGATCAAGGTTTTTGAGAAGGTAGTGGTAAGAAGGCTTGTGGGGTGTATGGGTGAGGCTGACCTGTATAATAATGGACAACATGGTTTCCGGTGTAATCATTCCTGTTTGTTGCAGTTACTGGAGCACCATCACCATCTAGTGACCCAGCTGGAAGAGGGAGCTGGTGTGGACGTGGTATACCTAGACTTTGCTAAAGCTTTTGACAAAGTTGACCATGTGGTGCTCTTTAGAAAGCTAAGGCTGTTGGGGGTAGGAGGAAGCCTGTTGAGGTGGATCCACAACTTCCTTACAGATAGTGCAAGCTGTTTCAATTGGAAATAGAGAGAAGTGAAGGTGAAAAGTGGAGTTTTGCAGGGCTCAGTGCTTGGACCATTCCTCTTCCTCATCCACATTGCCGATATAGACTAGGAACTCACCCACGCATCTACATCGTCATTTGCAGACGATACAAGAGTGCTGTTGAAAATCCCAGATGACCTAGATTGCAAGAGGTTACAGGATGATCTATCGTCAATCTACAATTGGACCCTAGTGAACAATATGCAGTTTAACGGCACCAAGTTTGAAGTAATGAGATACAGAGTCCGCGGCACAGAAATTGAGGAGAAGCAACTAGTTTGAGATCTCGGAGCGTTGAGTACTGAAGCCACGTTTGATGCCCATATTGAGAAAATAGTCACGCGCAGCCAGAAACGGTTGGGTGGATATGGCGGACATTTTGAATGAGAGAAGCAGCACCAATGATTACACTATTCAGAGCCCTCGTGCTCCACAATCTTGAGTATTGCTGCCAACTTTGGTCGCAACTCAAGGCGGGTGTGGTGCAGAAACTAGAATCAGTGCAGCGGTCCTTCACGTGCAGGATCAGCGGCATGAGGAAGCTGAACCTGAACTACTGGGAAAAAATGAAATACTTGGGACTGTACTCACTGGAGAGGGAAGAGAAAAGTATATCATACTATACACTTGGAAGATGATAATCATACTGGCTCTCATCTTTGAGAGTGAGACCTCCAGAATAGTGACACGTTACATTGATAGGAGGGGGAGATTGCACCAGGTTCCCCATTTAATAACCAAGCCATGGCCAGAGTACAGACTCTTCATGAGGGATCACTGTCCATGGTAGGACCAAGGCTCTTTAATGCCTTGCCAAAAGAGCTGGGAGGAGGGGAGTTCACCCTTGCAACATTCAAGAGACAACTGGACAAGTGGTTGAGAAAGATCCTGGATTGTCCAGTAATGGGGAAACTACCCTCAGCAAGTGACAAGCAACAGCATCTTGCATCAGCTGGCCCAAAGTAGGGCAAATATACGGAACACGTCCAACATTACATATGGGACCCGAGGGCAGGGTGACCTGCCTAGCTTACGACTTGGAGATGGAGGATGACAAAGGCGGCACATCAGCATGACCATGGACTACGAAGTCCTAAACTCATCACAAGGTCACAAGGCCCAGGTTGAGAGGCCAGGGTCCAGACTGACCGGTCAGAGTCCATTTTGAGAGGCTTGGGTGGAGCCCGTGGAGGCTGAGAGACCTAATTCCAGGTTGAGAGGCCTGGGTCCTAGTTGAGAGGCCAGGGTCTAGGCTGACAGGCTGAGTTCAATTTTGAGAGGCTAGGGTGGATGCAGAGAGACCAAAGTCCAGGTTGAGAAGCAAGGGTCCAGATTGAGAGGGCATGGGTCGAGATTGAGAGGCCAGGGTCCAGGTTGAGAGGCTGCTGTCCAGGTTGAGAGACCAGGGTCCAAACTGAGAGGCCAGCCAGTGTCAAGATTAAGAGGCCAAGGTCCAGGTTGAGAGGTCAGGGTCCAGGTTGAGAGGCCAGGGTCCAGACTGAGAGGCTAGGGTCCAGGTTGAGAGGCCAGGGTGGAGATTGATAGGCGATGGTGGAGATTGAGAGGCCAGGGTTCAGTTTCAGAGGCCGCGACCCAGGTTGAGGCCAGGATCCAGGATGAGAGGCCAGAATCCAGGTTGAGAGGCCAGGTTCCCACCTTCCATTCTGTTAATTTCAATCATGATTGATTCATTTTTTTCAATCTTGCTTTCAGAACTGGTTTCAGGTGTATTGGTGAAACCAATATTGAATCCAAAATGTCCTCTTGATCCAGTCTTCCTTAGATTCACCAGAGAATGAAGTAGCAAGATGATGTTCACATAGACTGGGACATTTTCTTGGAGAAGAAAAAGTTTTTATGCTAATGCCCCTGAAGGATTCTGAGAGGCAAAAAATATTATGAGTACACTTCAATAATGCAATCATTTGGCCAGTGTATGGAGACATAAAACAGGTAAACTGAATTAGTGTTTCTCACTAGTAGTGAGAAAATTATTGTAGAGGGGCACTAAATTATATAATAGCAATGAAAACACAATTATTTTACATTGTAATTCCCCACTTGCATGGTCAAAGGACCAACATGACTCAACAGTCACATTTCAAACAATGCAGTTGTAAGTCCTACAGTACTGAAGGATCACCTTTAGAAACACAATGTGATGTATGCATGTACAATTTATTTTATGTTCAAATTTTGCATGTGCACTCACTATTGTACTAAAAATGATGTAGAATTTTTTCAATGCTGTAACTTATCTGATTTTCCCACCATAGTTCAATAAAGATTGGGAAAGTTCAACAAATGAATGGCACCACAGATTCCCAACAAGATCAGTGCTGTACTGCGTAGTTGGTGGCAAAGAGTAGAGTTGCACCACCTAAATGATGCAGGGACGCTTACTGAACACGTTCAAAATAACTAGTGCCAATTCCATATCATGACAGTAATATTACAGAGTATGTTTGAAAGGCGACTGTATGGTAAACCTGGTCATTAAAGGGTTAATGAAACCTGCTCAGAAGAACAAATTCTGCCAACCTATACTAATATATTTATATATATACAGTGGGGGGAAATAAATATTCGTACACTTGAAAAATCGTATTTTAATGTATGTAAGTACACAAACTTAACAGGAAAAGTGATTTAAATTATGTATAGAGACGCATAGTCTTCAAAAATACTATCAAAAGAAATTAAATCTCATATATATATACACCCATGCAAGAAGGTGTTCATCTGTTTTTGAGCTTGTTGTGTATTTGACAATCAAATCTCAATTATCAAACTTGCTAATACATTCTACTAAATATTACCTTCCATAATCTTTGTTCCAGAAAACAATGGCCTCACTATTAAGTTGTGATGAAATTACAAAGAGCCTCTTGACAACAGACAAGCATGGCTACAATGCTCTACACCATGCAGTTATTGCAAATAATCTTGCAGTTGTGAGGCAACTTCTACCATATTCAGGTAATTTGAAATTAATTTAAGAAACCTGGGGCCTTGATGGTAAGTCCTGTAAATTTTAGTGGTAAAGAGTGGGGAGAGACTCTGTGATGTCTAATGGAACTATATTGGATCCTCAATTAGGCAATACTGATTTTTTGACTGCATTTATCTCATTGATATTTTGAGTTTATTTTTATGCTTTCGATTAGAATCTAACCATCCGATCCATCTAACCATTTTGATTAGAATCTAACCATCCATTTAGATGGAGTTACCAAGTAGGGTTTTTCTTCTGCAGACACAGTGAAGTCATTACATACTCCAAATAATCAAGTAGGTAGTAGTCTTTTTCTAAGTGTTTATAGGTGAAGAAAAAACTGGTGCTTATATATGTTTTAGATAAAACTAATTAACAGTATATAAAGTGAGAGTAGATTGTTGCATAAGTTGTCTCTACATGGTAAGGTGAACTTGACAATTTTCAAAATTTGTTGGCAAAATAGCAGTGATTATTGGAAAATAAGACATGTTCTTATAATTGTCTTGAATTTTTAAAATATTCTACAGTCTAAAATTTTGTTTCATAACTGGGGCTTTACAACCCTATGGTAAAAATGTTCAAAAAAAGAAAAGAATAAGGTTATATATACCCATGACCTATTACCGTCAACCGGGGCTACTCGGGACTGGTGGGGTAACTCGGGACAGTCCTCTGACACGGCGGAAAACTGTTTTAGTATCAAAACTAATTGGAATATTGCAAAACTAAATATAGTGGTGTAAACGTCAACATTTTTTTATCTATGTAGTATAAAGGAAGTCAAAAAATACTACATTTACTAGCTTTGAAAAATTTATGGAAAAAATGGTGAAAAACGCTATTTTGAAAAGTTACTTATGCTAAGGTCTGTAGTAAAAAAAATATTTGCTGCATTACAAAATTTTACTTACATAAAAGTTGCACCCAGGTGTCAGCTTGAAAACTTTATTTGCAGAATTTACATACCTCAATCCCCCAAAAAAATGGCATCCATTTCCACACGGCGGGTCTACTCGGGACACCCCCAAAAACGCATTTACGGTAGAACCTCAGTAAGTAAAGGCTCCTGTTAAGAAAAAAATTGATTAAAAACAAAGAATATTGATTACATTTATCTCGCTCGGCGAAAAAAATTTCACTTATCGAAAAATTAGTGCATCATTGGTCATCACAAAATTGTGCATAGAATGTCACATATAGAATTGTGCACCAGGCATCATAGAATGAAAAGTAATTGACCTAAACTATGATTTATTTCTGCAAAACATAAGATGGTTGTCACTAAAACATTCCTTTCTGTTTCAGGTATGTTTTTCACAATCTTTTTTTTTATAGTAAATTCACTTAACCCAATTAAAATGGTGTGAAATTACAAGCCGTCCTGTAAGCTTACAGATACAGAAAAAATGCTATANATAGTAAAAATGTTGAAGTTTATGCCACTATTTTTAGTTTTGCAATATCTTGATTAGTTTAGCTGCTACAACATTTCTACGAAATGTGAGACACGCGTCCCGATTTACCCCACCAGTCCCTTATTAGTCCGTTTGACAGTATATGTAGTACTAACTTTTTCTAAACTGCAACAAAGATTAGTTGACATTTTCTAATGAGTTATTTAATTTATTCAGTTAATGAGTCATTTAAGTTATTTAGTTGATAAGTTATTTAAGTTATTGAGTTAGAAAGTTATTCTCCAGATGATGTTGGGTAATCAAAATGCAGGTTCAAGAAAGTAATTTTAATTTATTAATGTTTTGAATGTGACAGCATTCATTTTCAAGTTATAGGAAGCATTGAATAGGAAAATTTTTGTGGAAATAAGTACATTATACATGTAAATATGAAATAACACCAAAATTTGGAACAGTGAAAATAACTCTGAAACAATCTCAGTTTTGAAAGTCCAGTAGTTTTGAGATGGATAGCTGCAGTCCAATCCATAGAGATGAGGCCTTTAGCTATCGTTGGTCAGATGATGTTGAGTAACTGCAAAATGACATTGCTGTTGGGTTCTTCCAGCACAGTGCAAGTGACCGTCTTGTATTTGACCTCTTCAAGGGTGTCACTGATCCTATTGAATAGATTGTGGATCTTCAGTAGAGGTTGCTCAATTATAATGCTTTGAGACTTGTTCTGGTTGCGAGCTTGTCTTGAGTGGCTGGTTAAACGGATGCTCAATGTCATAGTAGTTACTCTGCTGTAGTCCAAATAATGAAGAAATCTACAACCTCTGAAGCAAAATTTATAGATCACACTAGATTCTTGAAGAACTCCCCCCCCTTTTGAAGGGGCTGTTGCTGCATATAATTTGGGATTTGACATTGTCAGTAGTGTCACAGAGCCTGTTGAATTCATTGCAGATCTTGATGAAGTTTCTTGATTGTAATACTCTGTGACCTGGTCTGGTTGTGATTAATGAGACCTGGTCTGGTCTCATTAATTGCATGTGTATAAACAAGCAAATTCTGCCATCTAATACTAATTTTTGCTTGCAAGACCTGGCAGCAAGAGATGATGTGATAACTTGAGACACAAAACTGAGCTAATTACAAGAAAAATAAAAAGTGAAGTCATAAATATGAAATTTGGTGACTCCAAAATGTCTCAAAATATTACAATTGAGCAACTTCATCTCAATATTCCAATTCAGAAAGTTCATCTCTGTGACACCCTTGACAACTGTAGGGTCAGAGAGAACTGATAGATACTGGAACGCCAAAGTAAGGAATCCAATTGTGCAGAATGGCATTTGTGACAGTTAACTCCACATTCATCTCACCATGCCACATTCATCTCACCACAACACGTTCATCTTACCACAATACGTTCGTCTCACCATGCCTCATTCATCTCACCATGCCACGTTCTCATGCAAACGACATTGGCAAATTTTCAGCTGTAGCAACAAATCCCTGTTCAATCTTATAACAAATTTCCAATCTTACTTTGCCCTTGTATAAACTTGTCACCACTAAGCACTTGTCAGCACTGCATACCAACTATTGGTCATCCGTGTTGTGCCAAGGCACGCCTCTTAAGTTCTGCGTTGCTCAAGCCAGCTCTCGAAGCAAGCAAACAAATGTTAGCCGATGGAATTATTTGCTCTAGCCGCAATGAATGGGGTTCTCTCCTACCTATGGTCTGCAAGAAAGATAATTCTTGGAGGCCAGTGGGTGACTATCACGTGCCCAACATGATCACTGAGTCTGACACATACACCTTACCTTCCCTAACAGATTTCACTGCTGAAAAATTTTGTCAATTGTTGATCTAAAATCTGCCTTTTTACAAGTGCCAATTCATTCTGATGGCATTCCAACAACCACAATTTTCACTCCATTTGGTTCATATGAGTTCCTCAAAATTAACTTTGGCTTGTGTTCCACCAGTTGCTTGTGTTCCACCAGTCAGATATTTCAATACTTTCTTGATGAAGCACTTTGTGATTTGTCAGTTCCCTTAAGCTGAGCATGATCTTGTCCAGTAACTTTCTTCAACTGCATTGATGACATGCTGACATCTTGGTAGCATCAGATGATGAAAAGTTTACCATACCATCATTGAAGAATGAAGTCTACCATACCATTTTTACCATAAATTTTATACTACTGAAAAATTCAAATAAACACTTTGAATTTGTGCCAAATCTTGAGGCTTCTACAATGGCACATGCGCAGTAATTTCCAGGCTTGTATTGCTACTAAATAACTACTAAGGCTGCTAACTAGGAACCTAAATTAGGCAAAATTAAAAAACCTGCATGTTCTTTGCAAAACCCACTGTGCTGAAAAAAAACCCACTACCAAATTATTTCTCTAGGTGCATTATGTCTTTGAAAAAATACATAACTAGATAGTGTGATCTTCCATTTTCATCACCAGTCTTTTTTGTGAAGAATTTTAAGATACAAATCTATTTAACGAGCCAAATTGTCAACTGGTTATATGTATACATGACAAAACCAACAAAAGTCAGTTGAATTAGTTTCTCTCATTTCACACACTTGACTATGGGCTTTTAGTAATGCCTGATTTTTCAAAAACTCATTTTATAGACTTTTGAGTTGGTTAACAAAAAAATAATATCAAACATGAACTAAAAATCTTGAAAGGCATAGTGTATCTAAATATCATTGAGAAAATAATTGTTTGTAGGACTAATATGGGTGTATTTATGTTTCATATAAAAACCAGTTTTTGAATAAAATTGACATCGATGTTTACTCTTATAGGTATTAAACCCTATAGTTCAGGTAGAGCTAATATAAAATAGTTTCAAAAAAACTCTGTGAACTCTTCTTCTCCAGCCATGATGTGACAAAAATTGCTACGAATTTAGACAATCACAAAATGGGCTTTGATATGAAGGAGATCTGGTGGTCACTCTTTGATATCATGAAATTGTGATAGGTCGTGAATGAATATAGAGGAAGTTTGGGGGCCCAGTATCATTTATAAAACTGTATAATACATGGGATTTTATAGGGCTCAGATAAATGTAGGCTTTTTATAGAGGCTTGCACTATACATACTGCTATGAGATGACTGTTTTTGTTCAGAAAAGTTTACTGAATTTTTTTTATGAGATATCTTAATGAGAAATTTCCTTGAAAACTTCTATCCAGAATTGTTTTGAAGTTCAACACCACAAATTCAATTTGATACATTCTATAGTTCTCTTTAATACCTACTTTTCACTCTACCAGTTATTTATAAAAACCCAGGGTTTTTTACGTTAAAATGCCCAGCCTGGGTGAGTAGGCAGGCAGCTCCCCAGGCAGGTGCCCAGTGTAACCCTGGCTTGAAATTAGGTAAATAAGAATTAAAATTATACCTAAGTTTGCCTGGCTATGAAAAATTTAGACTACTTCAAAATATTGAAATACTAATATTTAACAAATTGATATGAATTTAGCTATGAAAAGCACTTGAAAATAATGGTAACTGCATTGGAAACAAGTGATATATTTTTATCAAGCGGCAGAATAACAAAATGTTCACTACTTACCTATGCATCAAGAAACTTTATTTTAATGCTGTGGCTTTGAGCTTTGGATATTTGGGTGTCAGCACTAACATGAGTCCTATTATTGGTAATGGTTTTATGTTCAAACAATGGATTAGCTTCTAAATTTATGATTATTTACACAAGTTTATCTTCGAAGTCAGATTTACAACTTTCATTGTCTGTTTTCTTTATCTAATGGAGAAACAAGCCATTTAGAAACTTGTGTTTGAACTCTTGCACTTCCCATATCCATAACATGCAAGCAACTTCATGCAAGTTATTATCTTGTCTCTGTTGCCGTTTGTTCTTACATTCTTTGGTTCTTTTGAATGCTAGTACTTCTTCTGCCTTGCCAGCATCAGCCTATTGAATTTTCATGTCAGTTGATTGTAATGAATGAAATTTGATTTTAAAAAAATTGTCACCTTTTCCTTTCATATTGGTTACAAATATTCTGGACTATTGGTGCAAAAAAAGTTTGTTTTAGAAGCTACAAGAGAGTGTTCATGCTGAAGCTACAAAGTTTTTTTTATGCCACCACCAGCAATGTGATGCCACCACCATCAATTTCAAACTATATTAATGAGGTTTTGTCTAAGTTTTATTTGTTGGTTGAAATTTGTAACTGGTATGTAACCAATTAATTAATTCACAAATATTTGAGAAAACATTAAACAGTCAGCTAATATGTAACTCCCCATCAATGTTTGTTGCAGATAAAAGGTGCATCAACATGGAGAGCCATGATCGATCTACTGCACTCCTGCTACTATGTAGGAGTTTCACCTCTTCAGAGTTTCGGGCAGGGAGAAGTGGACCCTGTATTAAGGTTTACATCTGCATATGATAATTTTTCAATAAATGGATAAATTTGTAATTGACACCCTTATAAATGATTCTGAAAACAAAACTGTGGTTATTTTTTGCTGGAGATTTTTAAAAGATGCTCTTGTCTCAGCGTACCTAGTTTTATGTCAAAACTGTATAATGAAATACTGCCAGTAAAAGCAATTAAAGTTATTTACATATAGGTATAGTACTAGTCTTGTTTGTATTGTAAAGATATACCATTGCCAGAAAAGTGTCTTCGTAATTATTTAGCTTGGAAAACTTATGATTTTCATATAATTTGAGTTATTATTTTGATCAGTAAAGACCAATCATTGGTTCATATATTTTCATGATGTGTCGCTATTTGTTGTGTCATGTTGGTTAATTTTTTTCAGGAAGAAATTTTAGTGAGCCTTCTTGATTATGGTGCAGATCCTAACCTGCCTCAACCAGATCCTGTTTCCCTACCTTTATTTTGTGGTACCTGCATGATATATTTTGGATTGGATGAATTTTTAATGAAATATTTGGCTGGATTATTTTATAAATTCTAATTGTTCAATGAAATCTGTAGAATTTTCTGCAGAATTAAACATTTTTGAACTTGCCAAAAGACAATATTTTGGGGTCTGCATGCTTGTCCTATGCTGTTCAATATGTATATTACCAATTAAACTATGAAATTGAAGCAAATTCAATTACAAAATTTTTAATATATCAATGAATAATTACCCCTAAATACTTGAGTGAATAAAATACATGTGCTGGAATAAGCTCTTCACTAAATGATGCAACCATTGTCTAGCTTTGGAGAGGCATTGGTGGCGGGGCGCTGAGCTGCTGCTGGATGCGGGAGCAAACGCCAAGGCTACGGATTTGGAGCACAAGCTGCGACCAGCCACATTCTATGCTAGGGTGCGAGCTGCTTTCAAGTCAGATATGGTTCAATTCAAGATTTTTAGAAAAATATTGCTGTTTTTTTGCCTGGTGGACATATTTCAAATAGTGAACCACAATTACCTTTCTCATTTCTTGATGGCTTTTGTGTACTTTGAACTAACATTCTCTTTGAAACTTTTTGTTGACAGGTCCTCTTGAACTCAATTCACCAGAATTCACCCTTAATTTGAGATGATTTCAGCTTGTGGTCATTAATTTTGATCTTCCAAATGTACTGCTTAATCTTTCCCAATTACAAAAAAATTAATTTTTATTCGCGTTTACTTCTGAAATGGTGGAAAAAATTATATATATATAATTTTGTTGCAGCAGCTACATTTACATTAATCTTTTGGTTTTCAGGGCAATATTGAAATACTCATAAAACTTCTGAGAAAGGGCTGCCCTTTGTTAGATGGAGATATCTTGGACCTGATTAAATCCTATACCAAAACCCAATGGAAGAAACTGGTGTTGGCAGCCCATGACTTTGGACCGTGAGTGTTTAGGAGTGTTTGATTCACTAATGTTCCATGGGTGATTCACAATAGTTCAGTTGGTGATTCACTGTACTGAAGCAGGTAAACCACTATAGTGCAGTCTGTGATTCGTTATTGTGCTGTGGGTAATTCATTATCATGCAATATGTGATTCACTATAGTGCAGGCAGTGACTCAGAATATTGCAGTGGGTGATTCACAATAGCACAGAGGCCGAGTCACTTCAGTGCTTTGGGTGATCAACTTAGAGAGTTGCATTTGCTCAAAAATGAAGGTGCAGATTATCTGTGTGTAGCAGATTGAGGAGTTCAGTTGGGTGATAAACCAAAGAGGCTAGAGTTTATACATGCAGCATGTGATCTTACCTGGAGCACTCTGTGATCAGAGCTAATGCAGAATGTGATCAAGGTAAGTGCAGCGTGTGATCAAAGCAAGTGCAGCATGTGACCAAAGCAAGTGTAGCATGTGATCAAAGCATGTGCAGCGTGTGATCAAAGCAAGTGCAGCGTGTGATCAAAGCAAGTGCAGCATGTGATCAAAGCAAGTGCAGCACAGCGTGTGATCAAAGCAAGTGCAGCGTGTGATCAAAGCAAGTGCAGCGTGTGATCAAAGCAAGTGCAGCGTGTGATCAAAGCAAGTGCAGCGTGCTACTAAATTCATATTCTACTAAATTCTCTTTTAAAAATAGCTATGTGCTGTGCTCAGTGATCATGATACAGCTTTTTTTTTGTCTTTAGAAACTATGCTTTTTGTTTATTTTCCATAATTTTTTATCATACTTTTATTGCATACATGATTTTTAGATGAATATTTTCTACTAAGTGGGTAAATGCATGTATGAATGATAAGGTACGAATGAATAAGCATTAATACATATGATTAGGGGATACGTTGGCATATTTTTGATTCTATAATATCCATATTCATTTGAACTGCAGAAGAGGAACTGCAGCTCACCTTTTCTTGTCAACTGCAATAAAAAAAAATTCCATTGATCATATCGTGGTGCATTGATATATCATTAAACTTGCTTGTCCTGTTAAACTCGCTAATCTGTATCTTTGCCAGCGTTAATTACCTATGAAGGTAAAGTCAAAGTAAAAAGTAAAGTATGTAGTGAAGGTAAAGCCAAGCTGTGTGTGCACAGGAGCTGTGCGTGTGAATGGATGTTGTTGTTCTTCAGGTCCTGGTTATGCCAGGAAGCACTCGGTGCAAGGGAAGGCCATCACCCGAGCTGGCTCGGACCAAAGCCGCGTGACTGAGATTATGCCGCCTCAGAGCCAGTATGTTGACTGCTTTGGCCACTCGAGCAGGAGATATCTAACGGTGTGGGGTAGTGCTTGGCAGGGGAGCATAACACCGTGTGGGTGTTGTCCGGGTGGTACCGGTATTTGTTTAATTTCAGTAAAGGATGGTGGCCACAGCAAAGTCTAGTAAGGTGTACCCTGCATGTCTTCTCTGTTCAACAGCTATTCGGCATATCTGATGTTTGATGGTGTGCCGTCTACTACTTTGTCTATAGACTATTGGTAGCTTGCCCTTTGAAAATTTTTTACGAAACCAACCCTTAAGGAAATAGAGACCAGAGTGGCTGGACTGGGCGATCCAGCCCCCAGCCTTATGATGGGGGGGATGACTTCAATCTCCCACGTCCGTTGGACAACCTTCCCCTCCTGAGGTGGTCATTGTTGTAGACATCGTGGGATGTCAGATGAGAGGACCATATTATTGGTATTGATATTAATGTATGGGGTTGATAGGTACTTCTGGTTGTGTGATTAATAAAAAAGCCAAAGGAACTTTTTAATATTGAGCGATTTTAAGCCTTTTTTTTATTTGAAACCGGACGCTATTTCTTTGAGCCGTTCAACTTATGCATGGTGTGCCGCCTAATTTAATTCTCGCACCGTAGGTAGAGTAACAGTCGCAAAGATTTGGTGTATACATTATAAAAAGTGCCAGGAACCACAATAGAAGGGTCAATACTAATATCGCGAAAATACTCCAATTTCACTTGTCATGAGCACGGTTATTTCTAAAAATAAGCAATGCTAAAAACAAAGAATCGCTTCTCATACAACCGCTGACAATGTTACATCGGGGCTATTTCTGCGTCAACTATAGATTTATTCAGTAAAATCTCCTGGCAAGAGCTTGAAACGGATGTAGCAAACGACATGAAACTTTCTCTGAACAGAACAATCATGCGTTTCACACGTGACGCATGGCATGCATGCATTTTCTAAATTCTTTTATGCGTGTCTGATTCCTGATTAACGTTTGGTTATCTAATCGCATTTCGTCATCTTTGGTACTAGTTCAGGTAGATCAATCTATAATCCATACTTAGCGTCACCTCTAAAAAAACCGCAATTGAGTAATTTTTTCAGGCACAGATTATGACTTCCGAAATGCAAAACGTAATTAATTATCTATTGTATTGTTACACAATTCTTTCTTTAACGTTGTTCGCTGGAATTCTGCTCCAGACAGTTTGTCACGGAACGTCTGCTGTGGGAGACATCTGTGACACTACAGGACCATAGCAGCGCAATTTACCTGCTGGATAACTTCATCATATTGGATTTTGACCTACACGAATTCTTCTCGACCCACATCTTTTGGTCGCAGTATACATACCCTAACTGGGAGCGTACGATGAGGTAAGTTCCACCGAGTTCCTCGTTTACGATGTCCAGGTTTGATTTCCTTCCAGCTTTGCCCTAGAGATACCGAGACATCTAGGGAAAATCATTCTGTCCATTGAATCAATGAATTTGATGAGCCTCGTCTAAATGCCTGTTATTTTATCTGAATTTGAGACTATTAATTGCGTTGAATAGCAGAAGTCATGAGTTTCGCTCAAACCTGGTGTCCTGATGAGTAAGAAAATAAAATGAATTCATTATTCAGGTTTCTGAAATTATCAAGGTATAGCATGGGCGATCACATTTTGCAGTTCAGAAAGGTAACTTGATGCTGATTTATGTTGTATTCAAATGCTAACATTTTAAATGTAATTTCTTGGCTCAATAGCCTAACCGTCATGTTATTCTATCCAGATACATTACTGCCCTGATAAACTACGTATTTAGGAACGTAGAGAACAAGAGTGACCAGTTGCTTCGCCTTATACTGCATTGCTTCAAGTGAGTGTCTACTATATATGCACTTTACGAATTTGCTGAATTTTCTGCTGTACGTTTCGTGAATGAATAATAGAACAAAATTTCAACGCTAAAATCATGTTCCTCACTTTCATTTTTATATCAATCTGAAATTAACTTTCACATCATTACTTCAGAGCAGTATCCTGGAGTTTGAACGTAGAAATAAGTTAGGCATGATACCTTAATTTGTCATGTTTTCAGATCCTGTCCGTGGCTATTTCGTGACAATCCGTGCAGTTTGGACGGATCCCCAATGATGAAAAGTTTACTAAAGATACAGTAAGCTCGTTTTTTAAATTAATGACTGTGACACCTGTTCGAGAATAGTCGATATTGGCCCACGGTCAAGTTGGATATAAGTATGAATCAAATAGATGAACGCAATAGAACGATTACTTTACTTGGAATCTGCCGGCGTACGTGTATAATATACGCCTGGCGTCATTCTAATTTGTGTGGTGCAGCACGGAATCTGATCATTTCGTTCCAAATTCGTGTCGTGTAGTTCTGGATTAAAATTAGTTGCCTGTTATAAAAATGTCTGTTGTCACGTTCAGTTTTTGACATCTCGGTCAAATTCGTGGACACGAACTTATTCTCGTATTGCGCTTTAACATCTGCTTGACCGAATCAGCAATAATCGTGTGCGATCGCTATGGCACATGGAAAAAAATGTGCGATCATATAACACATTTCCTGTGCTCCGAAGATTTTATCATAGTTTTTGTTTTTCCAGGTTTAAATCGATGAAACATATCCTCGCAATAGCGGAGCATAAAGGTGTCCCTATTGAAACGTGGAGTTTGGACGACCATGACCTCAGAAGGTTTGCGTAAGTATCGCGTTCGCTTTCAATAGTTTGGCTCTATGAATCTCATTTGATACTGCTCATCACCGTTCATCTTGTAACATAGTGACATTTGCTCAGAATATCCCTACTGTTATGAAGTTACCATGATGACTTCAGGCCAAACGAAAGTCTTCTTAGGGATCTATAATCTTGAAAAAGAAAACTAAGGTAGTATGTCTTTAACTTATATCTTAAAATTGAGATGGATTGCAGGTTGATTTTAATTTAATAAATTTTCAGTTATTTGATGTCTTTATGCATTGCTCATTCGTGCTTGGACAGGTTTTCTTTGGATCTTGCGTCCTCGGAGAGCGGCCTCAACGCGCTCAATAGCTTGCTATACAAGACTGACTTGTGTAGCGTTCCGTACCTTGTGAAGATACTTCCAATTTTCAAACAGAAAGGTACGCGGGATATTAATGTGGGTGCAACTTGTTTCCAACTCATTTATAAAATATCATCATTTAGTAACACTCATGCATCATTGCAGGAGTGTTGTTTGTTCTAGCATAGACATCCTCAGTCTTGGCATATGCCTTTTGTTGTAGCATAGACGTCATCTGTTTTTATCCTCTCGTGTCTTTTCTAGCCACTTGTAACGTGCCCTCGAAGTTCGATCTGAACGAGACGCCACGACAAACTCTTCGTAGAATAATAATAATAATAATTGCGTCTCTAAACTACTTAGAGCTGCACGACTGCCGTACCGCACCCTTGTCTTACGCTGACGCCCTTCTTCTCTACAGTAAATGTTGGCGCCATAGCGACGGTTGCTAGTAACATATTCAGTCATGCCCCGGCCGTAGGGATGCATGTTAGATACCAGCATTGCCCATTACCATCTTCGCTTTCGCATTCCCTCCAGTGCGCAAGCATGCTACTGAATAGAGCAGCCTATGGAGCTGTGTTTAGAGCCAGAGGCGCCGTAAGCCCGCAGCCACTACCCAAGGCAGTATGAGTATAGTCTTCACGTAGGATACACCTCAGCATGCCCCACCTATACACTTATCCCGAATCTCCTAACAAACAAACTTTTCAGGACTCAACCTTCCCGGAGATGCGATAAGTGGTCTAGGTAGACGCATGCTGAGGTGTAGCCTTAGTTAATTAGGGGAGCGTCTGGGTCCAAAATTGACAATTTCGGCTTCTCCGGTTTTTAGTCTCGTCTTAAACCTGGCACTCTGACCTATCCAACGGTACCAAAACCATCTGTACGTTGATTTATGCGTTCACTACAGATTCCGCGAGGGAGGGAGGTGGGGGAGTTCTTTCACATTTAACATAGGGAATAATTCCCGTATTGCACTATATATAGCTAGTCTACAGACACTCAGCTCCAGTAACGTTGCGGCAGTCGTACGGAGTGGTTCCCGCACCGTCGCTCTCACCGTCCTTGACAGAAATTGAGCTCCAGTATCGTCTAGTCGCATTCCTTGCAGTCTTGAATGCCGATTTCGAGGCGCCCGGGGCTTTGTCGGGCTCTACTGAACATTCACACTTATTGTCACTGGAAACCTATCTCCTAAGAGTTTTGAAGCTACATCAATGAGACACATACCGTTCGATCCGCAAATAAAATATCTACAAACGTAACTAGGGCTTTTTTAAAGTTCGTTATAGTTCGGATTTTATTTTGCAAAAAGGGGGGAGGGTGGAGGTAAAATCGAAAAATTTCAGAAAAAATGCTCCCACACCCACAAAAATGAGAAATTCAAAAAAAGCCGAAGTTAAGTTTTTAGATAGTATGGTCTTTACGCATCGAATGATATGTGTCTCGATGTTGCAGCTTGAAAATCATAGGACTGATTAACTTTCTACAGTATCCCCTTTTTGTCCGTATTCTAAGAATTTCACGTTTTCTTTCAATTCTTCGAAAAATTAAAAAAAAACACAGAATTACGTTTTACATACGGGTGTCAAGTTTCGAATCGATCCGTCTAGTGATATCCGAAATATTTTTTACCCCAGACGCTCCCCTTAAGACTATATGACTAGAGCAGTGGTTGCGGACTAACGGCGGTATGGCCTTAAGCCGTTGCAGAATTGGTGTAGCTTGCCGCATTTATATCGTGGTCTGCGGCATCTTGGCTATAAAACTAAGTATAGCTGTGCATGGTTTGTACTGAGCGTCTGCTGCAGGGCTAGTTTGAGCTTTGAACGTGTGGCCAATTGCTGCGCACCCCGGCCGTGAGAGTACCGCGATCTGTATTCATATACATCCTAAATATTCTTTACACATGACTGACTCAATATGTGATCTCTTCAGGTTTTGAGTTCACAGCTTTATCTGTGGCAGCATTTGTGACAAACACTAACATTTGCGAGCGTCTCGAGGAAAACTTACCCCATGCCTCTTGGATGAAAACTATCGTGCACGGATCGGAGTCTGGATATCGAATTTTGCTTGCAGAACTAACTAAAAACTGCTGCCGGAACGGCCCGTGTTGGTTCAGGTGTGTTGGTGGTGGGCATTATTTGACTGAACATGCGCTCTGTCGAAACATTCAGTTGATTATAAGGGCTTCTGCTCGGTGAGAAGTTTTTTTACAGTTCAACTAATTTTGAACTTGAAATTTTATGATTTTTGATGCTCACATATACTTTTTAATTGTAGAAAACGTCGAACTTCTCTGAAAATCATTTATACGTTTGCCTCAGGTCGCCTATGCTAACGAGCCTATGTAGAGACTTGATGCGCCAAGGATCTCTTATTCCAGTGCTCCTGCTGTTGCACTTGGGCGTGCACGACTTCATGCAGTACGAGAAGTGAGTGATTAGGCCAAACGTGCATTATATTTTAGGAATAGTCTTTTTTACTACTCGCATGAGGAAGTCATTTCCGTGTAAAACTATCAGTCGCACTCTTTAAAGTTCTTCTCTCGTTTCAACCCTCATTGTGTGTTGAGCTTGAAGTTTTCAGAATAACAAATTAAATTAAAAAGCAAACGAGTTGCAATTTTTAATAAGAAGTCACATGTCCTTCATTGTACTAGCGCATCAGTGAATAAATCGCCGATATAAGAACAAAATTTGATCGTAGGAAAGTTGCACCATTTGCGTTGTACGTAAAAACGAACAACTCCGAGGTAACCACTTCCAGGAAATAACCTATTTTGTGCATTTGCATACACATGTACCACGAGTGTTTCTCTGTATCCTAACCAAAATTAACAGAAATTAAATATATTAGTTTAATCTTAGAGGTTTGGACGATGATGACAATCGTGCATAAAATAAGAAAGCTTAATTTATAATCCTATCACTATGGAAAGTAGGATTGTATGCCTGGTAATTAGCTCGTTTTTTTTTTTTTTTTTTTTTTTGCGCAGTGTGGAAGTGTCTTACATCTCTTATTGCCAACCCCCACCTTTCCTCTTGTCAATTTTCCATCGATACTCCCCTCGTCGTCGGATGCTGTTGACGGACTTTGCAGTTTTGTCACCGTCAGGTGAGGATGATTTGCGTTTAATTCATTTTGAACTTATAAAGCTGCTCGAGATAAAGCGGGCTAAGATACTTCATAGAAATTTTCGTTGCAAAAAAAAAAAGCGCAAGCTCCATGAATTGTTAGTTTCAATTTAAATTTCGGAATTAGTGCCTCGAAAAATGATCGATTTCGGTGGAGAGGAAATTACGTGCCATTGCAAGGGGCTGTGGTTGGCAACCTACGAAAAACGTAGGAATTATGAAGTAACCGATTACTTTTCATGCAGAATGAATTAATTTAATGAGGAGCTCTTATAAGCGACTGTAGTTAGTTACTGTTGTGGAACAGTCAATCATCTTGGAACTAAACAAAAATGACTTGAATGACCAAGTGTTTGTGTGCAGCGCCGCTGCGGTCGCTGAAGGAGTTATGTCGCCTCTCCATTCGCGCGTCCCTCGGCCACTGTAGAATAGAAGAAAAAACGGAAAGACTACGAGAACATTTGCCCGATTATCTCCGAGGATACTTGTACTTCAGACACGACTTTCATGTCGATGCTGCGCTTGCGGGTTGATCGCATCGTGGGTCGCCTGCCGAAGACCACTGCCCTGGATGTAATCGGCCATCATGATTCCTGCCTTCCTGCCTTCCGGAACGTAGCCTTCAACACTTCTGGACAATCATATCTAGGCCGTGCGTCGAACCAGCCCTCGGTCGAACGGCCACTCGTCGAAGGACGATAAATTTTGGAACAGAACTATGCTATCTGAAACCTAACCTCAGATATGTTGAAAGTAAAATTACGTAATTTAACGATGACCGGAAGTCATGTTCAATCCGCGACCTGGGCGTGCACGGCAGGTTCTATGCAAGGCCGGAGGAGGACAAAGCCGAGTGGTTCACGGCCGATTGGTGGATGTCCGGAGAGATTCAAGGCGTTCGATTCAGGGCTTATTGGTGCACAAAATTGGTGGTGCACGGCTGCGCTCCCCGCCTCGTCACAAGCGAGGTTGTCCAGTTCTACAGCTTCTTCTGGCACCCGCTAACAGTTCAGGTTCACGGCACAAGTTTCCGATTTCTGAAGTTCTATTTGAAGATGCCTATTTAATTTCTCATCACCAAAAGAGTCTCGACGCTTTTCAATGTTTTTTTCTTCTTTCCCTCATTGTTATGTTCATTCTAATGTTTAAATTAGAATGAAAATCACAACTTGATGACAAGAAGATGATAATATCCATTAGATTATAATATCCATTTTCTGTTGCATTGAGTCTAACCTGTTCTCAAAAGAAGCCAATTTAGTGATTGTCTTGCCATGGATTTGAATATTATGTTTTCTTGAATAGGTGCCATATTAAATTTAATAACCGAGTGGCTGGAATCCTGGCCAGACTCTTTGATCTGAAATATATGCCACCCGTTCTTTTTTTTTATGCTCATCACAAAATCACCAAAGTTTCTCTTACCTAGATTTTTGTTGGGATACACTGCCCGACTTGTTTCTTACTCCTACCATTCATATTACATCCAATCGTTGCTATTCCTGCTTCCTCTGTGTGACGAATATAATTTCCTCTGTGTGACGAAATCGCGGGCTTCTGAATGATCCAATTATTTGGTCGGGGAATCTCTGTTTTTTTGTCATTAGTTCTTCTGGATAACCAGTAATTTTAACAATGCTCTGGAATCTTTGTTAATTCCTGGTTATTGTTCCAAAAAAAAAAAAAATAATTGTACTAAATTGCAGGAAAATCCTTCAAATCGTTGTTCACAGATTAAAAAAATTCATATTGCTTAACGTCGTAAGGAACTTTGGAGGGTTTGCTGTGACGAATCTTCGTGTCGTTCTTTATATCCTATGATTTACCACGAATTATCCATTTTGCTGTTCACCAATACTGCGTCTATAAGATTTTGAATGGAGCGACATTATCTTGACGCGATTGCCGTGAATTTGAAACATAGACTGAGCCGCATCTCAATTCCCCACTCGTCGAAGCGAATCTCATTCATTCTTTAGCTGGAAAGCACCAGTTGAACATTTTATGAACCTCTCTGCACCAATCTTGGTACTGAACTGTAACCACTGGAGCACCTTGCCACTGCAGAACCTAGAACCAACCTCCTAATATGTTGCTGTAGCTTATTAGGCCTACTGTCAGTATCTATGTATTTCTCTATCCTTCGTTACTGTGTATGATTCCAGAATTTGTGATACAAAGTTCATGTTATTGTGTTGATTTTATAGTTGTCATTGTAAGTAACGCTGCGTCAAGAAATCCTTTGCGGTCATTGCCATGAACGCTTGCTAATAGTTCGTGTCTATTTTTTAGGATTACTTTATCTGGGGGAAGATACTTTAAAAGGAAATTATTTGTTGTATAAACTACGTGTACTGATTTGATATCCTCACTTTCGTGGTTGTTCCTTATTTGTACGCCAAAAAGTGACATAGTCTAGATGCCGTCCCGTTTTCTTTGACTCAGTAATAGAGAAAAGTTTTGAGGAAGACAACTTTGATCCCAGCCTACCGCCTCATCTACACAGCCTTACTGCCGAGTGCCGATGTGTGTTTCATTGCGTCTCTTTTGATTTAAAACATTAGGTAATTTTAATATATTACTCTCTAAAGATAAACGTATGTTTAATCTCACGATTCCAGGTATCGTAATCGGATTTCAAGCCCAACCACAGCCGTTGGCACTGCCGCACTATAATCATAATCAAAGCCCCACCCAGCTTTGTCACTATAATCGTAATGAAAACCCAACCCAGCGTTGGAAAATGCATGCATAAGCAAGGAAACGTCAATAATAATTATAACTAGCATAACTCTTCCCGAAGCTGAAGGTGGTAAGCGTAGTTATCTTCAAAGTTGGCGTCTTAATTTGCCTGCCAAAGCCACGTTGTGTACGTAGCCTACTAATGGAATACTGTGATATACTGCTATTGACCATGCTGACATACATGATACAGCACTCTTGTCATGCCAGCTGTAATCTTGTTATCGAGTAGTCAATTAACAACGCTCATCTACAACGTTATATATTATGCCTAAACAATAGGAGTCCAGCCCCTGCCTAGTGTAAGTTTTATGTATGTCTTTCTCGACCTATAAGCTAATATTAAATCTATTTCAATGCTTACGTCACCAACGACTGTTAAGTAAAAACTACAAACCCCAAACTGTCGTTTCTTCTTGCGCACCAGCGCGAACGCTTTTAGTCTGGCTGTAGCCTAATAAGTTGCATAATTTTTTTGTCTTCTTCCTTGTACTCTTAATCATGTGCTGGCGAAAATTATCGAACAATTTAAACAGTTCAAATCTAATCGACTTCATTTGTACAATTTTGCCGATGCCATCAACTATAAGAAATTATGTTCCGTTTTAATTGAGCGGGACCTTGTAGAATAAGTATAGTTTTAAGTTGATTTCTAGATAGCTAGGAACCATTAGAAGAGAGGATTTTGGAGGCGTGAGCGATAGGTGATACCTAACAGTGTTCTGGACGGTTGGCTTCTATACCCACGTTGGAGTGTAATTATCGTCCTATCTCATACTAATTAACTTGAATTAATGCATGACATGGGCTCTTTTTGCATTTAATGCATGCAACTTCACCTCTTTGGTTTGGCCCAACAATTAAAAGTCGTCTTTGACGCATTACTTAGGCAGTATTGCCGACTTTCGAGCTTTAACTTTAACTACTAATTGCACTTGTGCACACTAACCTCCTTCTGCTAACTTAGCAAGCTGGGCCGGCCATTAACTAATATTCTTTTATATATATAATATCCTCTTAATTGCATCAATATACCTCCTTTGCCTCTGAACGGCTTAATTCGAGCCACTTCAAAGTTCGCCAACGGCAATAATTTTGAAGGTTGGTTTTCTCATGAATTTGATTTGATTTGCATAATCATTTAGCTTAAATGACCAATTCATTAATATTACCAAAATTTTTGGAAGCATTTAAAACCCGATCTGACCGTTAATTCCGTTATCTTACAGTATAACCTCGGTATTCACCTCTCGTCTCGTACGTGTCATCTCGTTTCTTGCCTCCGGTGCCGCCAGTGCACACTACCTGTTCTGCGTTGTACTATGTTTAATTTAAGGTTAGAAATGGGGACTGCGTAACTGTCATATCTTGTGCCGTTGAATTGGAATTACTGAATATAATAGTATAAAGTCATTTCTAGTATTCCTACATTATTTTAATTTAGATCATTGGTCTCTAATTTCAGTTTCGTGAACATTGTCCGGTCATCTTCTATGACCATCTAGATTATAATACGTCACCATCTAATAGCTTGTTCTGTACCCACATGGTAGAGTCACGCCTAGTGACGTCATCCCTGTTAAGGACTATATATAGCCAGATTATAATAGTTCTAGCGTTAATCGTGTTTCACTTGTCCTGCCTTAGTCACACTTGGAACAATAAGTACCCAGACCCTCAGTACAAATCCATCAGGTGGTCGCAGAAACAGACACCTGACAAACATCAGCCTCTGCAGTTCTTGCCTGACTTCACTGATGTCCAAGTTATGTCTTCTCGAGTTCAATAAAAATTATTAGCCGTTATATTCGTATAAATTCCTTACACAACATCTTATTCGTGCCATAATGAATGATAGGTCAGAGTCTTGATGCAGAACTATCAGAGGTTGGAAAGACTTTTATGGAAATTGCCAACAAAGACTTGAAAAAGGACCTCAGTTATAGTAGAGACAACAACTTATTTGACAACATTTTTCTGCAATGAATTTTACTTTCGTGCCCCCTGCACGTGACTCGACGGGACAACTCTCGATATAAACGATTGAACACTGGTCGAAAATACAAGTCCATCCCGTTGTATGTGCGTAATATAATGCCATATAACGCACACCAACAGTGCCTTCTATGTTCTATCTAAGATAGCGCACGGATATGAACTTAAGCACTAGTTAACCGTTCCGCCACTTATTGCTAGAACATGAAGTCAAATGTAGGCCTGGAGAAATCTGAACACATAGTTTCAAATGAATTTTCTTCTATGCAGGAGCTGGATTTACTAGAAAGAAGACGATCGTGCCTCTAATTCCACTTTTTTGAGGATGACCGCAAGTCTCGTGGTGTAAGTGAACAGAGTACAACATCGGACTGTAGTCTCAATTCTAAATTATTTGATGAATTTAGGCCATCGAAATCCGTTTCAAGATCGGATTCACATTATAGATGCTTGGCCAAGGAAATCGGCGTAGGCAGCAACGTACGTTAATAGCTAGCTGTACAACGCGGACACATTTTCAAAGTTGAAACCAGTTCACGGCAAACGGTGAACTTCGAATTAAACGTACAGTGCACTAAATAATGGGGAAAATGGACTAGAGTCAAGGAACGAAACAAGTTTATTGAACGAAACTCAGAAGCTAGTAAGGCTTCTGACCCAGACTCCTTCCAGGCATCTTCCACCTTTAGCGCCACTTCACAAGCCTGCAAATAGTTTACAAAGGTTTTAGCTATCGACAGAATTTCAATGTGATTTTAAATTAGATTGTAAATTAGAATTCCAATTCACACTGACTGATTGAATGGTTTATGACGTAGAAGCTTTTTATATTAAAGGAACTTGCTCAGCGATCGGAAAAAAGTTCCATACTGAATGAGAACACGAAAACTCCTGGAATCGTACCGTGATCTCGCCGTGGGGCCATCAGCGCTAAGATCGTGGGCCTCCCTGCAGATCTCAACACCTCCCAAAGCCAACCGCCAAAGCACAGGTTGATCATCCACGTCGCCACCGGCACGTGCTGCTCGTCGAGGTAGTAGCGGGCGTCTCCGTAAGTGTAGGGATAACTCAGGAGATACGGCGAAGGTGTGCGCATCAGGTGAAAAGCGCCCAGAGAACAAGGTGGTCGAGTTAAGGTGAAGACTAACTGAAGATACAAAAGATGATGAGACCAAAATGGACAAGTCTGTACCGGATGGGATCTGAAGTTCTACTGACTGTTGATTCATAATTCATTGCCGCTAGCTAGCCGTGCGGTTGGGCTGACTATAGTTCGTGACCACAAGCAAATATACAAGCAACTTCATCTCAAGATCAGTGATGAATTCAACAGGCTCCCTGACACCCTTGACAACAACTCCCACTGTGCTGGAGAAACACACCAGCATCTTCATCGTGCAGTGGCCCGAAATATTCGACCGACGATAGCAGATACCCTCATCTCTACGGATTGGACTCCAGCTACTCGTCTCATAACTACCGGATTTTCTGAACTTTGAGATTGTTTCGGAATTATTTTCACGGTTCCAAATTTTCGTGTTGTATCATATATACGTGTATCATGTACTTATTTCCGCCAAAATTTCAGTATTCAATGCTTCCTATAACTTGAAAATGAATGATGTCACATTCGAAACGTCGTTAATAAATTAAATTACTTCCTTGAAACTGAAATTTTATCAACCAACGTCAACTGAAGAATATTGTTCGATCCTGAAAATTTAAATTAATGATTTCACTGGTCATTAACCACCCGTGTTTAAATATATATATATGTGCGATCGATGACCAGAGAATTCGTTGATTTATATTATATTATATAAATTCTCAACACATCAAAGAGTCTCACAACGCGAGACAAGCTTACAACCAGACCGTCACTCGCATTGCGCTGAAGGTACTCACCAGCATCGTGATCAAGCAGTGGCCCGACAACAACCGACCGGCGATAGCTGAATCCCTCATCTCTACAGATTGGACTCCAGTTATCTATTTTCTGACTACCGGAATTGTCTGAACTCTGAAATAATTTTCCGAGTAATTTTTGGTCCAAAATTTTACTGTTGTATCCTATTTACTTATATTATGTACTTATTTCCACCAAAATGTCAATGTTTAATGCTTCTTCTAACTTGAAAATGAATGTTTGTTGCATTCGAAACAGTCATCTGAAGAAAAGTTCCACCCACTAATAATATAAATCAACGAATTCTCTGGTCATCGATCGCACGTGTGTAAACAAGTAAATTCTGCCATCTAATATAAATATAAATATAAATTTCTAATATAAATATATATATATCTTAACTGTGGCCTTTGCTAACAGAGGATCTGCTGTAAATGTGTTTTAGGGGGTTGTCCCTAATTACCCCAGGCTGTGTCTTTTTACCATGTTGCATGGAAATGGCTGCCATTTTTTTTAATGAGATATGCAAATTCCATCAATTATGTTTTCAAGCCGACACCTGTGTGCAACTTTTATGTAACTAAAATTCTTTAATACTGTGAATATATTTTTTTTGCTCCAGACCTTAGTAGAAGTACTTTTCCAAAATCTCACTTTTCACCCTTTTTTTCTGTGATTTTTTTAGAGTTAGTAAACACTTGATTTCTTGACTACCTTAATACATAATAGATAGTAAAAATGTTGAAGTTTGTGCCACTATTTTTAGTTTTGCAATATTTCAATTAGTTTAGCTGCTACAACATTTCTACGAAATGTGGGACGCGTGTCCTGATTTACCCTGCCTGTCCCTTTTTACCCCATTTGACAGTATACCATCTGAGCTGTGACTTTGGCTTTCTTGCCTCTTTTGGAGCTGCAAGATTACCACTAAATGAATTATCTCTCATCAAATGGTTGACCCTAATTATTGAAAATGTAGTTTGGGAGCTGTGAGAAATGAGATTTCAGTAAAAAGTTTGAATTTGACAAATTTGCTGTCTGACACAAGTTGCCAGTCTCAAGATTTTCCAGCTTCATATGATGAGATTAGAAACCTCTTGCATAATATGTTTGAGTCATATTTGATTTTATCAGTCATTTTTTTGCAGAATAATGTCAGTTATTTCATGTTGAATGCTTGTGATGATTTTTCACTTAATAACTTGACAAGTACTTTCTTATTTTACAGGTGATCAGGAGCTTGCCAAATTTCTTCAGCAAGAAATTGCAGATGAAAAGAAATCTGTTGTACCTGGGCTGCCATCAAAGTTTGGTGACTTTACTGTCAAGACTAATGATGCTCAAATGATTCTCTACAGGAAGTTTAATGATGAGACGTGAGTTGGTAAAAAATTGTGATTTAAAAATTGAAATAATACTAGAAGGCCTGCAATGAACCTTATCTACTCACATTTTTGTTTTGCAATGGATTGAGTCTTGTTGAATTTTAGGCTATTTTGTTCTCTGGAGAAGACTACCTTTTGTTTGCTGTGATTCAACATGGCTAAAGTAATTTCTATATAATTTCATTACATCTTTTGTTACTAACAAACATGAAATGAATGATGGAAGATGATTCATTCATTCTAAAATGATGCTTCATTCTAATGTTTGTTCATTTAGTGATGAGGAGGCATCAAAATGTGATCTTTGATAGGATATTTTGATTTGATATTTCACTTAATTGAGGATGACGTACAACACATATTTATTATAGATTGTTGCCTGCCTGTCCTGGGCTGTCTTACTAAGAATCATTCCATGCTTCAAGCATTAATAATTTTATATATCTGCAATGATTCATTTATTTTCCAATCCTGTTTGCCATCATCTTATCTTTCTGTATTGGGTTCTATAAAAATGAAATTCTGTAATGTTATTCATTGTTTATGTCCAGCATCACAATTACACTGGACGTGAACCACAGTGTTGACACTGACTCAGAAGCTCAGGTCACAGAAGACAGTGGAGAGGCTGAGTTGAGAAGCAGGCCTTCGTTTGAAGTGGATGTTGCTGTCGCTTCTCGTGTGCTCTCTTTCACTTGTTCATTCATGGATGCTGGTGAAGTTGCTGAAACTGATGAACAGAATGCCATACCAGGTAAACTGCCTCAACTTATTTATATTGGGTTTAAAGTACCTCAGTCTGTTGATATCTAATTCAGCCTAAATATTTATGTCTGAAAAGTCTCTTCATGTATTATTTGTCCCTCAGCTTGAGGGACAAATTTTGACAGATTTTACAGCATTCTAAACGCTTTGAAGCATTTGTTTTTGAGACTAGAGGGTTCCTAATTGCCACTCTTCCATAGAATTTGGATATTTGCAGCTCCCGACAAACGGTTTTTATGGAAACAAGGTTCTGTAGATGTTTAGTGATCTCTACTTTAATTTTAAGTTTTAACAGCCGTGACCTATAGGTACCTACGGCCTCTCTCAGACAACTATGACTTGCAGCAAAACCTCTGCTTTGCTGAGGACATTTAACCTTCACTTTCAAAAGTAGTAATCACTTTTGAGACAATACCTCTTAAACGTTAACCATTCAGAAAGTTTCTGTCACACTAGCACCTGCCATTTGAGCACCGATAATTTGGCCTCTTTGAAATTCAGATTGGTTGGCAATTTTCGTAAGGTTATAGTCACAAAATTTTTAAAAAATAGCTGCAAATATTGAAATTTCATTTAGCAACTAAAATAAATAAACTTCATAAAATGTAATGTTTTTATTCTTTATAATGTGTTCAAAAATTATGATCTCAGAATGTTAAGCGTTTCCCTTATTTTGTCCGACCCAAGTATATATATATATATACACCGTGCCTTATGAGCTCTGATATTGCAGAAGTGTTTGGCATCAGTGAAGTGACGATCTACGATGGTGAATGGACTGACGAAACTTATTGTGTGTCGGGCGACATTCTAGACCCTGTAAGTTCGTACCATATCATCTTGTGACGTCACATGTGAAATAAGCTTAATGTTATGGAAGTTTATTAGAAATAGATACCATGAGACAATGAAACCACGATCATAGTGATTTTTATTATCTATGATTGTAGCAGCTGCACAGTTGAAATTCACACATAATATATGCAGTATAATGAAATGGAGAAAAGATTAATTTGACAAGCATCTTGATTAATATTTTGTATTCTGTGTTCAATTGCCTAAAACTCTTTAAATTTTATAGGTATTTTAGGGTGATTGTATTGAAGAATCGTGTATTTTCTTCTTCATTCACCCTTATTATTTTTATTTATTGAGGGTTATTTCCTGTAGAAAAATATCTCATGATTAATTGCCGTCCCTTTAGGAATTTATGTCCCTCACCGAAATGTGTTGAATGTACGACCATTTGTGTGCAGCAACTGTATGACCACCTCATGAACTACCTGGAGGAGCGCGGTGTGTCCGAGGAATTTGTTGACAAGCTCAGCGGGCTCTGCAGTGATTATGAACACTCGCTCTATGTCGGACTCCTCGAGAAACTACAGTCATTCGTGCTCAAGAAATAACTCCATTTAACTCTGGGATCTATTGAGTATTTGTGTTCAAGTGGCTAAAAATTCGCATTTTCTTTCTAATTAATCTGTAAATTAGTCGTGTTAGATTTACTGTAGGAATTCTGCTAAGTTGAAGCCGTGTAAGAACTTGCGCCCAATTTCCAGCTATGCTCAATGGCTATGGTTTGTCCACAAGTTCAATACAGCGTTAGCATCAACTAGTCGCCAATTTTGAATTTATATATTTCATCGACTCATTTGATTGCGTCGTTGGAACAATTTTGTAAAAAAAAATTTGAGAAATGTTAACATGTAAAGTGTTAGATGTTCTCTGCCCTTATTCTTTTCCAAATTCAACATGTAACAACGTTCTGGCTGTTCTGGAATGATGCGACAGAATGAAGCTCAGTAATGTCGTACTTCCTTTTTGCGTCCTCTTGTACTGAATAATTGCAAGTTGTTTGGAAACATTGATGGAGTAGGAAGCATGGCTGAGGTATGAAAAACAGAGAAAACAAAACTATAATTAGAAAGCATATTGTTTAGTATGAGCGAAATAGAATTAACAAATTCGTTATGAAGGGACATAGAGGCGGACGCGAATGGTATGCCTTCTTTAAGGGGAAAATTATTTGAGAGTGGATGGGCTGAATGAGGAGCGAGCGTATGTGACAGAGAACAAGAGTGGCTGAGAATGTGAAGGAATTTTGTGAAGACATTCGTGGGATGACTGACTTATTCATGTCAGGCGAAAACGTTGTTTCATTAGAACGTAAAGATCTGAGTGTCAAAGATGAATAAATTACAAATGAACAAGTGAAACGAGTAATAGAAAAACTGAAGAATAATAAGGCAGCAGTGTCAAATTTTATAAGGGCACTGTTCTGGTGTGCCACTGTCCAAGTTTATATTTCTGTCATAACCTTGGAAGGATCTGTCTGATCTATTGTAGATAAACCTGAAGGGTTTTGGTTCATTATAATTTTCCGAATAACATATTAAATATTCATTGGCCAGGGAAGGATAATAACAAGACGTGTAACTAAGCGTAAGTATTGAAGATAGGTTCACGGGATACACTAGATAGAAGTTACAGGATCAAAGCACAGTATGTGCAGTAATTTTGGAGATAGAGTGTAACGACACTGCGTGTTGGCTGCGAGTGCCGGAGTCTAAGACGACGTGAGCTCGTCTAGAGTTTGCAGGCTCTACGATGACTGACTGGCAGTGCGCTCTCCGAGCTTATATACGCGGTGACCCGCGAGTAGTGGCGTCACAGAAGGTGACGTAATAGTCGCTAATGACATCACGGCCTAACAGCTGGAATGGACGAGAAGAACTTGAGGATTAGACCGATTGCTGCTGCTGACACTAGTGGTCAGTTTTTCTCTTTGCGGTTATGAAAGCGGATGCAAAGATGCCCAAGAATCGAAAGAGTACTTGACGAAGAGCAAAATGGTTTTAGATGCAACAGAAGATGATATATTTGTTGTGAATTAAGTTATCGGGAGAATGAATAAAAACGAAAGAAGGTGTGCATGGCTTTTCTAGTTAGAAAAAACATGACCGGGTTGATAGAGAACTTGCTAAGAAAAACCATATGACCGGGTTGATAGAGAACTCTTGTGTAAAACCCTGGAAAAAGTTGTAATTGGAGAAGGATGTATGTGAATACTGGAGCAAAATGCGGACTAAGGGATGTGGAGACGGACTGAGTGTGGAGCAGGAGGGGCGTATGACAAGGATTCATCTTGTCTCTACTTCTCTTTAACCTTTACACTGAAGCGATGGCCACGAGGGTGAAGAGAATGGATTTGGTGTGCGTGTGGGCGGCGAAAGGTTAAAAAGACGATCTGTATGCTGATGATGCTGTGTCTATAATGTATGCTGTGTGCTAAGTGAAAATAGCCTAGAACTACAAAGTATGCTGGATTGTGTGACCGAGTAGGGAAGTGACTTCAAATCAATATGCGATCAGTACTACAGAGAAGAGCCAAGTAATTGTTTTGAATGGATTGGCTGAGGATATGGTCAGAGTGTGGCTGTTTATGTGGGAATTAAATTGTTAAGATGAATGAGTGTAGGTACTTAGGGATGTGTGTGGGCCAGGAGGGATGTGAGAGAACAAAGGTCGCGAATTCAAGGAAGGTGAATAAATGGTTGGTCACTTGGGTATACTTGGTACTTGGAAGTGCAGCAAAAGTGAGAGCGAGTATGTATGTAGTATTGAGGGAGGTCTTAAAGTTCCTACTATTATGTATGGATTGGATGCGATAACATATAGTGATGATGATCTATATAAACTGGAAATGATACAGAAATGAGTAGCGAGATTGGCACTAGGAGCCCCCAGGTGGACTGCGCTGGAGGCCCTGAGAGCCTGAGGGGACAGGGGATGGAGTACCTTCAAGGAGAAAAGAATGAAATCAGTTTCATGGTATAAAGTGAGACTGGGACGAATGGACGATGAACGTTGGGGAAGAAAGATGTATATGTTGAACATTATGATGAGAAATTAGGCACGTAGATCAGTAGATGTGCAGTGGTACGTTAGTTTGGTATGCATGAAGCATAGGTCACGAGTGCGCCAAGGGCCTGTTGAGCCAAAGAACGAATGACGGAATGGGTGCTGACAGTAGGAGGTACAGCTGGGATAGAGTGGTATGAAAAAGAGTGGAAAAGCGAAATAAATTTGCGCGTGAAAGATGATGGGCTGAATGTGTGAAAGCAAGGAATGAAGGGAAAGAAAACAGAAACTATAGCAGATGAAAGCGATGCCAAAATATGCATTTATGATGGTAGTAAAGGTGGAAGGGGGGAACCTTCTGTTTTGCGTGAGGACTGGGGCGCTAGATGTGAATGGACGTAAATACATTTGGAATGAGAGGAAGGAAGACGGATGGGAAGGAAACGGTGGTGGTGGGGCACTTGATAGTTGATCGAATGTGAGGCGTATGAGAGAGAGAGAGCGATAGTCTATGATGGAGATGATTCCTAATGATGGAGGTGAGATTAAGAAAGTGGGGTATGAGAGAACATGCGAAGAGTAGATGGCAATGATTGTGGGTCTGTCAGTGGGAGTAACGGTAGATATGTCTGAGAGTGTGAAGAGAGGTTAAGAAGGAACGTGAAGAGGTTAAGGGAGAGGAGGAGAATGATATGAGTGGAGGGTTGAGAGAGGGGAGGGTGGGAAGGCAGAGGTGACCGTTGTGGATGTTTTAGCGCATTGTATCTGTATTTTTAAAGAAGGTTGACATGTATAGCTGAATGATTTAGTATTTTAAGATTCAAGTGAATACCTTTCCGTCTAACTTTTTTTTAAATGCAGAGTGTGACGTGAACTTTTATTTTTTAATGCCAGTAAATGATTTTTCAAGCAACGTGAATGACAGATCTAAAAGTCTTAATCATGAGTACGCATTAAATTCAAATTCCAGTCGATACCCTGGTGGTTTCTTCTCGCGATTTTACATGTACTGTTTAAATTTATCATCATGGGTGAGAATGTTCAAGAGCCATTGTGTCGGGTAAAATAATGAATAACCCGGCACCGATGAACTCCGTAGCCCATTGCATGGAAGGTACGGTAGGCAATATATATCATCACGAGGCTCCCGCTTGCCGAATCACTCCAAAATATTCGATTACATGGCGTTTTGTTATTCTTTCAAGGACAAGCTGAATACTCGTGTATTCTGCATTTTAAAAACTGTTTACTGATCTTGCATTAGCTTGTATCACATTTCTGCCCTTGCTTCGAATCGGAAATAAAAAATTATCTTTACTTACGAAATAAGATTTTAATACAAAATTTCATAAATCGACGACAAAAATTTGTTGGCTACATTTGAAATTTCCGAACTTGCGGATATTAAGAGTAATTAATTGTTATGATTCATGGTTCGACAGTGAGAAAGGATTTCGGTTTAAACTTTGGCCCGGAGAGAAGCTTGAACCGTTGTCGAAAGAGGACGTTCCTGTGAACCTCTCTGTTTTTCTTATCATTGTGATTTGTGAAAGTGCTAAACGATCCCTCAATGACTAATACATCTGAGGGTCAAGATCTTATTGATCCTGGTGCTTCACCAAAACCCGGACATGTCTTACATTTTATTATTGTCAGTTCGACTCGCGTAGTCAATATACTCGCGTATATTGTCGACTAAAATAGTAGAACTATTTTAGGCTTTTTAGCTTTCTAAAGTATGGCGCACGGCGCATTTTTTTTACCAACATAGTACGGCACACCGCGCAGGTCGTTAAATGACGAAAAAAATTCCCGTGCACCTGGCACATCTTCCTGACCATGGCATGAACTGTGTTTGGGCGATACTTTATTCCGCAAAAATGTTTTCCCTTCCAACCTTGGGTCAAACCGAGGTGAAATGCAATGAACAGAGGTTTGTTTTGCTTGTACTCCCTGATTTTAATGCTATAGAAATTTATTTATAATCTATCCCAAACATAGGTAACTGGCGACTTATGTGTTTATACTTTTAACTTTTGGGAGAAATTGCAAAGTTTGTGATGGATATTTGCTTTAAGAGCCAGGATTTGAAGATAAATGTTTATTACTTTTTAATACCTACAACGTAATAATTGTGTCTAGACTAAGTCTAAGTTAGGTCTTGAATACTGTAAGAAGCATTCATTGCCCATATTTATTCTCAAATTATTAGCAATTATACTTTTAAAAGCGATTAAAACTACTTCAAAGGCTGAGCACGATACTCTTGCAATGATTGGAGTTGCGTGAACAAAGGGTCAAGCATAGAGCTGCTGCTCTGACCTGAGTAAATAACTACATTTTGAATAGGCAAGACCGAAGTTGTCTTACTACTAAATAAGCTTAATAAGGCAAACTACAGACTACTCGGTTAAATCTCTTATAATAATGCTTGATGTGTATTTCAGGAGTATAAACGTATTCGAAAAGATAAAGCACATTCCGTATGAAATTATGTGTTATGTAATTACAATATGTCCATTTGTTTAAGTACGCATGTTAATATAACTATTTTGTATCATTAAAGATGACATCGAGGAAAGGAGCAAAATTATGATTATGGAGGCAGGAGGACATGGATAGGGCTTTTGCCACCTGCAGAGTCGAGAATCTTCCTGCGTCAACCGCAGCCCGTACGTTCAATGTGCTGTGCAAGACACTCGCTTGGTATTTACTAAGCCATCAGCAGATAAACCTGTTCTCTTGCTGCTCGATAGCCATGCCTCCCACTGCTCTCCAGATGTTATTGACTGTGCCAGGCACAACAATGTGATATTGTTAGCATTAATGCCTCACACCACCCATCTCTGTCAGCCATTAGACG